CTATATAGATATATATATATATATATATATATATATATATATATATATATATATATATATATAAGGTAGGGCTCACATGAGATCAACATATTTCGTGAGTCTTGTGAGACTACATCTTTACACATGAAACTTCACAAATAAAACATTGTGAAGGTCAAAAATTTGAGCCTTCACAGCGAAAAACATTGTTAAGGGTTATCTTCAAATGTGTTTTGCTGTGAAGTTTCAAATGTAAAAAATTGGTCTCATTGTCTCACAAAAACAACCTGATCTCACATGATCCCTAGTCTATACATAAATACATACACACACACATAGACTTGAGATCACGTGAGACCAGCCTGTTTTCGTGAGACCCGTGAGACCACTTTTTTTATACTTGAAACTCCACAGCAAAATGCTATGAAGGTAACCTTCACAATATTTTTGCTGTGAAGGTTCGTTTTTTCTTTAACTTCATAGTGTTTTGCTATGAAGTTTCAACTGTAAAAAAATAGTCTCATGAGTCTCATGAAAATAGGGTGGTCTCACGTAAACCCAACCCCCCACACACATATATATATATATATATATATATATATATATATATAGAGAGAGAGAGAGAGAGAGAGAGAGAGAGAAAGAGTTAGGTTCACATGAGACCAGCTTGTTTTTATGACACCTGTGAGACCACAAAATACCACTTGAAACTTCACAACAAAATATTGTGAATTAAAAAAAACTACAAACCTTCACATCAAAACACGTACATTGCTATTTATCATTCATTTTTAAATCAAAACTTCTCATTTAATAAACCAACTTCTCATTTTTTTTTCTAACCATAAGTTATTATTGAATATATACTTACAACGATCATTTTATTTACAATTTTCTACTTTTTATCTTTGACAATCAATATAATTAAAAAATATATGTTTTTTTTTATATTATTTTTTGTAACTTTTAGGTAAGTCTATTTATTTATCTTTTAGATAGGCCAAATATGGAAAGCAAAAATCTTACTCGCATAGACATAAATTTGACGTTGGTTGGGTAAGATCACGGTCAAATCTTGGTTAGACCTGTGATTTGGTAAACACACTGAATGCTGACCGAGTCAGCCTGGTCAACAATTAATAAACAACCCTTGAATCGTCATTTTGAGGTAAAATGAGTCTAATGAGAGCGTCTTGAGAATATAACGGATTGTGGAGCATTATTAAATTGTACATGAAGCATGCTCTATTGTAATTAAGCCTATTATAGATTTACTTTATAAAGTAATGTAAATAATCTATTTTCAATTTAAAATTTGTCGTAGAAACGTAATAATATACATTGCTTAAGGGAAAAAATATTTTTATAACGTATAGAGCATAAACATTTCTTTCTTAATAACTTATAGAGTAAAGTTTGTTTTTGCCCCTTAACATTTTTCATTTTAACGGTTTTCATCTCTCAACTTCGTTTTCTCGGATTTGTACCTGACGTATGTCAGTTCCCTACAGATTTCGTCCCTCCTCCTAACAGCCGTTAACTTTTTCCGTTAAATCCCATATAATGAGGGGTATTTTAGTCATTTTACTATTTTCAAATAAATTTCTTATTAAAAATTTGCCTTTTATAAACTACAGGGACCTAGAATATAATTTATTCGTTACACCATCATCATCTTATGATTTTTGAGTTTTGAGTTTAGGGTTTCATTACATTGATGAAGATGATGGTGGTGCTTTTGGTGGTGTAAAGAAAAATTTACATTCTTGGTCCATGTGGTTTATAAAAGACAAAATTTTAATATAACATTAATAAAAAAGTAGTAAAATGACTAAAATACCCCTTACTAAACTGAATTTAACGAAAATAGTTAACAGTCGTCAGAAGGAGGGACGAAATATGTTGGGGATGGACAAACGTCAAGGACAAATCTGAGAAAATGAAGTTGAGGGATGAAAACCATTAAAAGTGATAAACATTTGGGACCAAAAGTGAAATTTACTCTAATTTATATCAACCTCAAGAGTCTGGATTGTTAAAACCAAAAAAAGATTCCAGTACAGTTAGAAATCGGCAAGGTTCACTTTTTGATTTATGTGTTCCATTTGGTGACTAATACTATGATACCCGTTTTAGAATGTGCGACTCCTTTATGTTAACAAAAGTTACTAACTTTTTTGTTTGATAAAGTAGTGTGTAATAAGTCCACATTGCTTTTTTAATCAAGTAACTTGCTGTTTGCTGAAAAACTAGTTATATTTGATAAAAACTAGCTGATAAAATGGATAAGAGGTAAAATAATTTAAAAATCATTTTGAAAAAGTAGCTAAGTCAAACATTATATGAAGTACAATTGAAAGACATTGTTTATATAGACAAACTTCAACGAAGACAAACGAGCAGTTAACTCGATTTGGTTGAAGATGACTTTACAGTTGTGAAAAACAAGGAGGTGAAAGGTTTTGAGAGCGAGGTTTGTAAGAGATGATCAATACATGTTTGAGAAAAGAAGCGAATGCAAGTTATTAAGTACAACTACGCTAAATTCATCGTGTTCTTGTCACATTGACTATGCTATTTTTTAAGTATATAATATTTATATACAACAAACGATCACACACATTCCTCATCTTTACTGAGGAATACTCGAAAGCTTGACCTCCTAAGAGCCTGAGCTCTACTAGTAACCGAGTCTCGTGATGCTAATTGCCCTTTGGTGATTATGCTATTGTTCTCAAAGGCAAAAACATAGCAATAATATTCCTGGTCTGCTGCAACTGTTGATGATTTTAATTAGGTTCATAATGTTGTGCAGCTGATTCAAAGTCGTGGCTTGTGTAGTGAACAGTCAAAGGTGGATCTAGAACCTTTGACTTTAGATATTGAAATTGTTGGTAGTTACGCTGTAATATAGGTTAGGAGGTGCAGAACACATATTTGTATAGGCTAGCTAGAGCTCGGGATCGCTGGATGTCGCCATATGGCGAGGTCCTAGGGACAACGCTCTTGGCAGTGGTCGGGCGAGGTCAAGATCAACCCGAAACCTAAACAATATGTAGTAAGTGGTATTCAGAATAAATGTTTAGAAATCCATGTGCTTTATGAAAAATGCTTAGTTTGAACCGGGTTTAAAAAGCTATATGCTATTTGAAATTACTAAATTTGAAAATGTAATCCTTCAATAAACTTGGATTCAGAAAATAAATCACCTACGCAACTAGTTCACATAACTTGGTCCAGAAGGCAAAGCCTTCTGAAGGTTAGACTTCAAGGTAAACACCTTCTGGATTGGATTTTAGGCTGTGTTTTGTCGAGTTTTTCTTTTTACGCCAGAAATGAAGGGAAAAGGGAAGAAAAATAGGGGGAAAGAAAAAATATTGTATTGTTGAGGTCTTTTTAAGGAGGGAAATGGTTAAAAAATGTTGATTTTCTTTCCAAAACTTTCCTTCCAAACGTAGGACGAAATCTCGTTCTTTATTGTGATTTCTCACAAGACCTAATTTGACCTGGACTAAACCCACAAACCAAACTCCACTGTATTGTGAGTCAGTTAGGGCTGTAGATGAATTGAACAAACACAATTTAAGATTTGTCCATGTTCGTTTAACTTAATCGGACATACAAATAAACAAAAATGCTAAATGAACAAAAAAAATTGTGTTTATGTTCGTTTATTAAGAAAATGTGAAAATGTGCTTGTTCGTGTACGTTTATGTTTGTTTGTTAAGATGTTAAAGAAACATAAACCAAAGAACATAAATGAACACAACGAACAAACATAAATCAACAAAAAACAACCATCATTACTCATCTTTTTGTTCCTAAAAAATAACATAACAAGATGAAAAACCAGGTAAACTTAGAAGGGATAAAAAAGAATTATATAAATTTAATTTAATCAATAACTTTACATATTAATTCATAATATATAAATATATTTATACATATAAACATATGTTAACGAGCATAAATAAAAAAGTTAACAAACCATGAACAAACGAGCGGGGCCATTGTTCATACTCATTTATTTAACTAAACGAATACAAAAATATGTTCATGTTCGTTCATTTATCAAATAAACGAACATAAACGAATTTCCCGTCAAACGGTTCGCAAACGATTTACTAAACATTTGGTTCGTTTACGGCCCTAGAGTCGGCCTCTATTGACCCTAGGGACAACAACAGTTAGGTGGTTCGATGACAACCACCTAACTAGGCATTTTTTGGGGTGATGGATAAACCAACATGTGAAATTTTTATGAGTAGATGGTGTTAGAGATCATAAGTAATTATCGGGTGAGCCTTTGAAGTCGATTATACATTACAACGTCCGTATTTAAAAAACAGAATACAAATCACATGCCTCCAAACTCCATAAAAAGACTCGTTTAAATAAATGTATATTAAATAAAGTAATTATCTATCAACGAATGGTAGGACGGGGACATGGAGTTCGAGAACATGTGAAATTTTATATCGTTCAAACAAAATAAACGCTAAAAGTTACAAGTTGATACGCAAAAAATACCGCTTGAAGTTGAAACGCAAAAAATACCGCTTGCAAAAGTCGAACCGTATCTTTCATTTTGGAAAGAAGGTATCTGAATGCTAAGAATTGAACAACACAAGTGCCTATCAAAAAACTAAGCCAGCAAAATAGAACAAGAAAATTAAAACAAAAAGAATAAAGCGAAATAACCTTCACGTCAACTTTAGCAACTCGATGAGCTCGCCTTTCTTCAGCTTCGAGTAGCCTTTGATTCCTCTAGATCTTGCTAATTCTTTGAGCGCAACAAGTTTCATCGTCTGCAACTCCTCTCCATTTGTGGCACTCTTTACCTCATCTTGTACTTTTTCAACGAGCGTAGATGGGATCGGTGACCTCTTTACAAAGTTTGAGGGCAACCGACTTGTTTTCACCTCGGCCTCCGCTGATGCAAAATCTATCTTCTCGTCTTTCTTTGGTTCTTTTTTCGGTTCACCCAACGCTATGCTCCCTTCTCTGTTTGAAGTCTTCCCTGAAGGAGAGATTCACTCAAAATACCACTTTGAAACAACAGGTAAGACTATTGTCGTCTCTAAGACCATCTCCAACCGTTTGCACCATTTCTTGCATCAAGATGGTGTAAACAGTAATTCATCTCCAACCCATTAACACCGTTTTAATAGTAACCTTATATTTATCAGATGTTTACTACTATGTGTTATTTGAATTTCTTTTCCGGGTATGTATCTTTTTATTTCCTCGTGGTGGGAGGTTCAAATAAGAAGGCTAAATATCGTAAAAAAGTAAGAAGCGAATGTTAAAAAGAAGATTCATATGTGAATATGTGGAAACTACTGAAAAAATCTATAACATATGCATCTTTAAATGGACATTTCAATGATTCACATATGAACCTTCCCTTCTTACCTTCTCACAATATCAAGCCTTCTTATTTGAACCGGCCCCTTTCCTCCTATTGTAATTTTGTATGTCAATGGTGTGTTTTCTTTTAAATATGTACTTTTGTTGAAGCAATTTTAAAAAATATGTTATTGTGTTTTGAGTTATTAAAAAATATTTAACCTTTTAAATAATTCTGAACACCAAATTTGTTGTCGCTATTCACCAACAAAAAGATGGTGTAATAATTGGTACTGAGTTGGAGTGAATTGGTGTAAAATATAGGATTTGGTATTGGGTTGGAGATGCCCTAACAGAAAGCAAGGGGTTTGGATCACAAAAACGACCATCTTCTATGGACATGTTGCGATTTATGAGTTTGTGCAAAATATTTACTCGAAACAACGGTTTGTTATGGTAAATTGCGTTACCTTTAATGGGCTTCCGCGATTGACGAAGAACTTCTAAAACTGATTCAGCAGATGGGTTGTTGGTTCTCCCTTTGGAAGCAGTTTCTCCTGATATTGAAGACTGTATTCTTCTAAAAAGAGCAAGTATCTCGTCTTTATTATGCATTGTACCTTCTGATGATTGAGGTGTCTTGTTATCGTCCCCATTTATTGATCTTCCACTCTCCGAATTTCTTTGGGCAGGTCTCGCTCTTCTGTTGCCATCAGCTCTAATGTTCGATATAGAAAGTTGGAGGCTGCTGTGGTGTGTAAACAAGAAAGATCCATCTGCAATTTCTGCCAAATTTAACAAGCTGCATCAAAAGATTGTTTTCTCAGTGATAAGTTTGTATGCTGAATGATATCATTTGAATTTCTGTGTCAAATGGCGGATTTTTCAGCTTAAAAATGAGACAGTTTTGAATTTCTCGAGAACAATGTGCAACCAAGGTTCGAAATGGTATGAGGAATGGCGGCGAGGTCAAGCCAGCGAGGCCACAACGTTTTTCAAGTCGTAACTTATGGCATTTGTATATCATATATACACACATATATACATATATGTTTCAAATATTACTCTAATATAAAACCATATATAGGTGGGTTATATACTAAATCTAAGAATAAAACATTAATAAGGTAAAAGTAGAATTAAAAAAAACAAGATCAAATAACACCTTATAAAAAACGAGCATCAAACTATGGCATGCCACAAGATTAACACGGTGTCAGAGACGAGCCTTAAGCTATGGCGTGCCACAGCGGTCGTTGCGACGAGCCTTTTAGAACAGTGTATGCAACTATGCCTTACAATCAACTCCTTTAACGCTAGCAGCTACATCTTGCACATATAACCACATTCACATATATTGCTGGACTTTCTTCTTCTCACAAACCTACCACAACACTTTCGTATTATACGACATTTGTAAGGGGCCGTTTACCATAACAAACTGGGTAAGCACTTACCCAAAAACAAACACCACCTTAAAATCACCACCATCACTTACCTTACTGGGCAAGACTCTCCGTCATCAAAATAGCATAGTATAATCGACTCTTACCCGCTAAGTGCTAACCCGGTAAGAGTCGCCACCATCACTTACCAGGTAAGATTCTTGGTTTGGTAAAGACACCGGCTCACTAGGTAAACGTTTCTTACCCGTTAAGAAGCAAGAAGTGTTTAGTTAATACGTGTGTTACTGTTAAGTTACCAGTATGAGGCAGTAAGTGTTTAGTAAACATCCCCTTAGTTTTTAGTCGCTTCTCAACTCGTGTTATCCTCATCTTCTCACATGTCATTGTTCCAAATCCAATCCCTCAATGTGTGCCACACATCCTATGAAGCTTTAGCTATATGCGTTTTGTACTTTCTAGTTGCACCAACGTTATGTTTTGTTAATCCTTGGGGTAGCGCACCCTTTAAACCTTGATTTGTTCCCTTGCTCCCTGGTTGTCATCCGTAAGAGTCCTTTTAAGGCGAGGGTTGCCTGAGTGTTAGCTTCAAGTCCCCGTGGAATTAATCAAGGTGTGAACAAGCTGGCCTAGACACTCACGGTTATCCAAATAAGTTATGTCCCAACTCCCATCAATCATAATAGGCCATGCAAAACAAACCAAACCAAATAAACCCAATAAATCCCATACAGAGGTAGGGTCTCGTGAATAGTCCTTATATAATCATTGTCTAAAACTTGCTTTTTAGTTCAATGAGACTTTATAATCACAAATAGATATCTAATGCTTGTTGCTATTTGGTACATCTCACTCTTATCCTATTGTTACAATCCTCATAAATATCATTCAACAACTTAGCACAATAACCCCTTTGTCGTTCTATGATCTAATGAATTTTGATCAAACGTCTTGGTTCTCATCCTCGCATATAATGCAACTTAGGCCATTAGACATAATTTCCTTTATCTTATTCAAACTTGTAAAATCCCCCCCCCCCCCCTTTTCTTTTGTTTCTAATTTCTTGTACAACTCACCATATGCTTCAACTCTAGTTACTCATACAACTTTCTTGACTTTTAAAACAAAACCAAATTGACTCAGTAAATCCATTTTATTGGCTTCTATTTTAACTAATTTATTTTCTCAATATTCTGAACACTCTTCGAACCACATGTACAAGTGTCAATAGCATCCTTGAATTCTTTCAGTGCCTCTAATCCAACTTTCTTGGTTAGTGTGGATTGGTGTGTCCTAAAGGAGTTCTTTTGATAGATTCAAGTACAAATGACCCAATATGACCCATTGTCGGTCCTAGTCATGGCAAGCCAACCCAAATAAAATCATGTATTATATTTAATGGGATAACGAATCATTAGGCGAAACCATTCTTAGTAAAAGACCTAAAGACTCCTAACATTTATTTGCCCATACAACTTCTGGCTAAAAATTGCAGTGAAGGGGCAAACATGCCCTTGATTCTTTAATTTTCTTAGCAAACAATTACATTATCAAAAGACAACAATACCCTTTTCTTCATCTTCAAGAATAATAACAAAAGCACAAAAAGGAGTCAAAAATCCACAAATCTAACCCAAAAAACATCTTCATCTTCTTGTTCATCATAATCATCTTACTTTCTCCATCATTCATCTCAAAGCCAAACAACTTTGTCCAATCAAGTAAACCCTAAATCAATTTGAAATCCTCCATTTTGCTAAAATAAAATAAATTTAACAAAAACACCCTTAATCACCACATTTCAGGAGGAAATGATTCGAATCGATTAAAAAAAGGGGCACATTCCATGAAATTTATTTAACAATCAAAACCACAAATCCCTTTTAACTTTTTCAGGGTATTGGAAACACAGATGTGAAAATTCTAACCAAACTATGAAGTTACAATCAACCATCTCCAATTTAAACTTTCAAAAACAGCTATATTCGACAGGGAGCTAGAGTAACTTCTCACTTCAGTTTATATCAACTACTTCCAAGTTCCAACCAACCAAATAAATTATCCCAATATCATTCTCCGAATCAAATTAGACAAGGATTTGTGTACATAAAAGACCAAATATATCAAAATCAGAGATCTGGATCTCAAAGAACATACGTAAGTAGGGTTATCAAGTAAGGAGGAAAACCGTACCTTTTGCAGAAAACGTGAGCCTTCCAAGCTTGGGTTTGGTAAAAGCAGAAAGCGGATGCAAGCAAGGATACGTGATTACTGATTCCATTGAAATTTTGGTGGGTTATAATCCGTTAGATTCTTTCTGGATTAGATTGATTCGTACACAATTTGTAACGTGATCCACACAGACGGTGTAGGTATACAAGTTTCAGTTTACTCTCCTGTACTTTCAATGCATAACCCTACTAGGGTGTCAAAAGATCCTACTCCAATCATAAAAAGGGTCCTAAAATTAGATAAAGTAGTTGTTTCTTGAATATAATTCGGTCTTCGAGTCATTCCTGTTATCGATTCATCCAAATATTACTATTTTCGTAAGTTTCATATCCGCCACTTACGGATCTAGCTAAAAGGCAAAAAAGATCAAATTGTAGACCTGATCATCGCAATTACAGACCTGGTCGTCGTCGTAATTGCGGACCTGACCATCGTAATTGTGGACCTAGGTCAAATCTGATAAATAAATAAAAAATTTGGTTAAGTGCAGAAGTGAAACTTACAGCCGTAATGATATCTGATAAAAAATGGCTATTTTGGCCGATCATTTCAAAACTTCTTGTGTTAGAGGCCGTTTACTAAATGCTTATTCGGGTAAGCGCTTACCAAGTTATATTACCTTACCGGATGAATATGGCAATGACTAAGAATCTTACCCGGTAAGAGCGAGACAAAGACCGAGAGTTTTACCCGGTAAGTAAGGACAATGACTCTTACCACGTTCAGCTCTTACCGGCTAAATTGTTGCATAGAAAGCCGCTTTTGTTGACTAAAATCTTACCTAATAAGTAAATGATAGTATTGAATTTTATCGTTAAATGCTTATCGGATAAGTGTTTGATAAACGGCTCCTTAGACTTTTTAGTGCCTCAAAGTCTATATTTGTATTATCTATGTGAAGAGAAATTTTAAGAAGTATTATTTTACAAGTTCAATATACAAAATTTAAATTTCACGAAGTCCTCTGTTTTTCATATATAAAAATTAAATCATTTTTCAATTTTTAAATTATATTTTAGATCATTATAATTAGTTATTTAATTTATTTTATATTTCTTATTTTTTTTTAATTTTGTATTTATATTAACATAATAATCGTATATGAACTAAAATGCATTAAAAATATGTTTATTTATTTCTAAATTTATATCATTATAATTGTCTCGTCGATACTTTTAAAATGAGTTCAATATTGAATATTTTTAGATTTAATCATACTTTTAAATATAATGAATATGTACGAATTAATTAGTTTTATATCCCTTGTGTTTTCATTTTTCATTTACACCTTTATTATGTATAAAATACATTATCATAGATTAAGTAAAATACATTAAAGAAATTCATTTCTTTTTTCAATTACATGTTATACCATCATAATCTTCTCACAATACCTTCAAAATAAATATTTAAATGAATATTTTTGAATTTAATAATATTATAAAAATATCATAAATAGGTTAGCTATGAAAGAAAGAGCCCGACATTTATTTATGAATTACGAACTTATATTATATTATAAGAGGCCTTAAACGGAAAAATACATTTCTTCGGACATAACTTACCAAATCTAAAGAAATGTAGATATTATGTTTCTATAGGTACTAATCACGATAAACATCAATAATTTTGATTTTCCTGTTTTTGGATTAACAAAAGTTGGTATTTGTTTAAGATTGCGATTGAGACATATGGTCCAGGGATCACCAAACCAAACCAAACCAAAAGATTGAACATTCTCAACGTGGCATTATGAGACCTTCATGTATAGGAGTTGTCTTTATAACCTAAATCACAACTAAGCTTGTGGAGTTTGCCTATGTAATATTTGAAAACAATTCATAAAGATGCATGGTGTTGCCTCTCTTAGACTTTTTGGACGGTTTTGATTTTTTTTTTAAAGAACGATTGAGACCCGATCAAGCTTCGGTATTGCTATCACCCAATCGAGAATCAATCATATCATTAAAATTGTGATCGTGACAAAAGTCGTTAATACAATGTAAAAGAAAAGACAGAGTTAGATCAAAAACTTTAAGACAAGATAAATAACGAGAGTGCCTCGCAATTGAGTCGCTCTGTTGGCTTGTCTCCTAATCACATGGACTGAATATTTTCCATGAGTGCCAAGAAGCCGTCGTATGTTAAGAATGATATCCCCAAATTCTGAAATGTCGTGTCTCTTATCGTAGATAGCATCCGCAATAATCTTGACATCAGTTTCGAAAATAACATTAGATCATCTCCATTCTTGGACCCATAAGATTGCGTAAGAGCATATGCCTCGCATTTACCGGAGGAAGGGAAGTATTTGGGGTTGCTTTGGCAGAGATGAAGATACCCCTGATGTCCCTTAGAATAGCATCGAACCCCGCAGAGTTGGAGTTCTCAAAAGTGACAACATCAATATTACAATTAAAAAAAAAATCTCTTCTTGGAGGGTGCCATTAAAAGATGCAAGAGGATAATAGGCATTTGGTCCGTGAGTCTGAGCCCACTAGTGACATGCTAATCCAAGAGGATGTTGTTGTTGCGCCTAACAACCGAGGCCGAGTCACAAGGACCATCATTTCATAAGATAACGTTATTGCGATGCCACACACTCCATAGGATCGTAAGAAACTGGTCTCGTCAGGCCGTGGGTTTTCCTCAAGGAACTTGAAAACCAAGTCGGGGAAGGAATCAGTAATATCTATTAACAATTCCACGGTGTCACAAAAAGCCACTTCACACAAGACCGCGCTCATAGTAGGACAACCAACGAAAGCGTGCCAAATATTTTCGGTGTTACGATCGCAAATAGGGCAAAGATAAGAAATTTGTAAACATTTTTTTAGAGCACAACGTGTGGGGATAACTCCTTGGAGTGCTCGCCATGAAAAGTACTATTGATCCTCTCTCTCAGTGATTTGATGATAATCCCTTTTTCCTTTCGATGTATTTTAGTTTCTGTATTTTCAGTTCCAGCGATCAATACACTGAGCATGTTCAGTGATCGCT